ATCTAAGTCTGGAGGATGAGTGAGGAGGTTGCATCAAAACACGAAGTATTTCAGTCTGAAATCAGTTTGAAATGCAAAGGGAAAAAAAAAAAAAAACATCCAAATAGCTGCATTCTTCTGCACATCTGTTGTAAACCAGTTTACCCATGTGACCCAGTCTGAGATTTATACTGGACAAACACAACCTGAGGGAAACACACAAAGAGATGGAGAAAGCATGCAGCGTAAAAAGCAGCGCGGGTCAACAGAGCCGGCTGGCACCATCCGCTCCTTGTTATTCCAAACTCAGACATTCCTTAAGTTTCTTTCCTCCTAACAATCACCCTCCAGACTGTCGGGGTGTGTTTGTGTTGCCTCTTCAGCAGAGGTCAAAAGGTCATCCTGGAAACAAAAGGACAACTATAGCAGCTTTAGACTCTGACATTCTGCATACAAACAGCCTGGATTCTTCAGACCCTTCCAAAGTCTTCCCAAGCTTTAACTACATCAGGGAAGCAGTTCCTCCTAAAGCTAACTGAACCAGAGGGGTTCTAATAACTACAGATGTACAGATAGCAAGATTCTGAGAACATTCTCAGATCCAAACACCATGTACCAGTTCCATCAAGCATTTTTTTTTCAGTACAGAAATATTTTATACCCTCGTTGTAGCGTAGAAAACAATCTCCCTTGGCCTCCCAGCAACCAGCACACCCAAGCTAAGGTGCAACTTGGAGGTGTGTGCTACCTCCTTAAATCCTGCAATATGACAACCTCCGGTTGCTCTTTGCTTCCCTATTCCACCCATAATTGGAGTCAATTGGCTGCGGAGGGGACGTCCTGGTTGTATTCTGGTCAAATGAAGGCAAAGAATATATTATTTTTAAATAGCGAGAACTTTTGCTGAAATAAAGGCTTTGATATTCATGAATCTCTGGATGCAGCTGTGGTAAAAATTGATTTATTTTATTATTTTCTAAAGACACCTGGTTTCTCTCTTTAGTTTAGATGAGTATTTTCTTCTTGACTCCAGTAGAGGTGAGCGTTAAAGTCAAAGGAAAGTCTCATAGTTCTGTGGTTTAGCTGGATGTCGGATCATTATTCCGTCATCCCTCTAACAGCCAGAGACAATAAATCCCCAGAACACGATAAAGTAATCAGAGTTATTTTGGGAGATGACTCATCATTCTTATCTCCTCAGGTTTATCTTCACGCTGTTGTGAAACTGCCTTAATCTCTCCCAGCCCAGATCAAAACACGATAGAAGAGTCCTCAGCTGGTTCAGAACCTCTGCCTGGACCTGCAGAATCGAGCAGCAGGTTTTTCTCTCTCCGCCGTCTCCTGGATTCCTGGTCAGCATGAAGTCAGCAGCGTTCCCCGTTGATATTCCATCTCCTGCCGGCAACCACATTTCCACTGCTAATGACACGGCAGCGGCCATGTTGGCTCCGGGAGCTGTCTCATTAAAGGATATCTGAGAAAGTGGCGGCGGCTCGGCGGACCTGAGCGTCTCGGCGTTCATGTGTTTAGGTTCATGTGGGAAGAAGTGAGGAAAAAAGTGTGAGATGGTGTCCTCTTTAGACCCATCATGAAAAAAGGCTGCAGATGGATCCTAGAGAACTTCTTGGTCTAGAAGAAAAGTATCAAAGTTCATCCTGAATGTTGTGGGTTCTTAACAACCTATGTGGATGATTGAAGGAAAAGGCTTGAGTGCATCTGCTCTAGGTGTGGGAGTGGGGAGCCGGTGGTCCACTGAGCTGTCTTGTTAACCTCACAGCATGCCTGGCTCTAGATAGGGGTCAACAGGGGCCATTGCCCCCATAGAATTGGTCCTGGACCCTGTTATGGCTCCTCCACTGAAGATAGAATTTTTTATGATGATATACTCTGGCACATCAACCTTAATTGACTGGTTGCTTCAACAAATTTCATTTCTTACCTTTGTAGTTGTACTTTTACTTTCACACAGCAGCCTGAAGTGACCCAAATCTGATTTTTTTGCCCTGTAGCTGATCTTTTGATGGCAGTCTGAACAACACA